GCTTACAGAATTTTTTTACTTAGGCTCTGAATAATTTTATACATTTTTGGCTCAGAATAAGTCTACTGCTTGGATATAATATTTATGGAGAAAGATCACCAGGACTTTTTCCTTGGTATTATCATTTTCTTAGTCATTAAAAGCCACATGAAAACTATATGTGCCACAAAGGGACGTTTTTATTCATGAAAGAATTAAATATTTTTCCATTATTTTACTGTCACCAATATTTATGATTACAAGAAAGAGTATTATGTTATATGACAAAAGTTTGTCTTATTAGCAACACAAAAAAGGTAGACATTTTCAATGGCATTTAAAGCTGTGACATAAATTGAGAAAGGATAAGGAAATAAAGTGCATATTTCAACAATTAAACAGCATGAGCACATATATGTTGGTGCTTTGTAATAGTGTGAACATGTAGGAATATATTTTATATACCCTAAACACTGCATGATATTTTTGCCCATAATTAATCCTCATTATAGAGAGAGTTGCTTCATTTTCAAGTTCTTCTAAATTTCTACTTCTTGGATATATTCTATTTTCTAAAAAGAACACATACTAGCTTGAAGTACCTCAAGTCATAGCATTAAATACTGCAAAGAGAACAGCTCAAAGAGTGACAAGAACAGGAACAAAAAAGACATTTACTATAGATTTTTGTTTCTGTGCCTGGAGATTAGACCTCAGAAGTGCAGATGCCACTGTAACCATGACTTTTAAAAATTATATTAAAAGTAGTACAATAAGTGGTTATTTATAGTAGAGATCATGATTGTACACCTGTAGGATGAAAGAATTTAAAAAATAACAGTCTATTATAAAAATATATAATTATGTATGAGATAATTTTTTCATTGATGTATTATACATCAGTATTCAAAATATAGTAAAAAAGAGCATTAAACCAGATTGTTTCATTAAAAGCAAAAGAGAAAAGTAGATTTATTAATTAATGTATTTTATATATTTTTTAATATTTATGTATAATCAAATTTACAAATTAAACACTGAAACTATTTCTTTGATATCCCTAAAAACACAATGTTCCCAAAATACTTCATTTTGCTTTTGTTTTCTATTTTATCATTGAGAATGAGAAAATTTCTTTAAAAGGTAATGTCTTATGTTTGGATACTGTGGAGTTTGTAATTCAAAATTACTTTCCTTCCTAGTCATTGAATTTAACTTTGCCATGTAGATGATTAGGAATATGTGAATAGGGCACATTTCACAAGGGGATAGTCTAGGCTCACCAGTCCACAAGGAGCCTGGTTATTCTCACCAATCCACAAAAGGAATGTCTAATTTCGCCAATAAATTGAGCAGATCTAGCACAGAAGAGAAAGATCCTCCCTGCCAGGAAAAGACCAAGTAAGAGAATCTAGTGCCTCTTCAGATCCTGATATTATTGCACCAGACAGACTAAGAGGGCCTACAGAAGCAACAGCCATAGGAAGCCATCGCAGAGAACCAGAGAACCCACATAACACAGAGTTGACTGCTACTCTACACACACAGAATCAGAGTTAGGCTTCGAGACTTTGCCCAAGTTTGTTAGACACCTGGTGTGGCATTGGAGGGAAGAGTGTGGAGAGCCAATCTTGGTAGGGCTTAGAATTTTGTAACATGCCCTAAAGTCTCAAAGGTTCAATGCTGAGGTGCCTGAGAGCACATTTCAAAAGCTGTCCTGACCATGGTGTCTTATTAACCTGAATTATTACTAGCCTTTTTACTTTCTCAATATGGTTCTATGTGAGTGATCTGTTAGCTAGCCCATTGCACTTTGAACCCAGTAAAGCGGTAAATTTAATGTTGAGTAGAAAGAGGTATGGGCATGTGAGGGACATGGCTGACCTCATGGGAATTGGTTTTGTGTTATTGGAACTGTTGATGGGGATAGTTCCCTTTTGTAAAGTCAGAAAAAGTCAGATATGGCCATGTCCACATGGCCTTTGTACTTTTTTTACTGATATACTTGTCCTGAATAAAAATTATTATGATAAAATAATTTCTGAATCACAGCTAAACCTCTATGGGATTTCCCAAGCTGTCTGCACCTCATGTGGTACACAGTTCTTAGAGAGGTTAGCAGTATCAGGCCCTTTGGATTATGCCAGTGAATGGCATCTAAATACGTGTGTGTGTATAATAATTGTACTACATTACTATTAAAGCAAAATATTATTAAATATCTGTGTCTGAATTTTGTTTTTAGCATTGATACATTTTCTTTCCAATGACATTTTTATCACAAAAGCACCAGTAATTTAAAAACAAAGCATAAGGCCTCTATAACATTGGAATGATTAAAACTTGGACATGCTTTATAATAGTAATAAGAGTTGTTAAAACCAGGAAGAAGTTTTCATGTTTTACATTTGAGAAATTTTAAAGCAGTTAATTAACTCACAAAATTTGTTTTTTACCCTAGAATAATATCCTTTATAAAAAGGCTTAAGAATTAATTTTCAATCTTAAGTCATTTCTCGTTGCAGTCACTTCATAATCTTATGAACTATGGTTAAATTTCTTACAATGGGGTAGATGCTCAAAAGCATTAACTAACATAAAAGAGTGATCAAATTATATGTGCATTTGTTTGACAATAAATCAAGAACATTAAGTAATCAATATCATCCATTAAAAGAGGTCATAGATACAAATTATATCAATGATTTAATACAGTGCTTAGCAGATGAATATTTTAGAATTCATTTTCAAACTATTTAAAACATCTTTAAAGGACAAAACCAACTAATAAAATAACAAAACTTTACAGTCAGAGGTCCTTGTTAAACATGAATGATTATACACTAAAGACTCTAATCAGAACATTAACAGAGCCATAGTTTTAGCTTTATGTCTGGTCTCCATCTCTGTCATGAGACCTTTATCAGCTCCCTCCCATATGTTCACATGTAAATGTGTCCATTAATGATATCTACTCTAGTTGTCTCAAAGACAACAAAATAAACCAATGTAAATAAAATCTTTTTATAAATAATAAAGCAGTACAGAAATGACAAGGATTCTAAACCCTTCTTGTTTAATTCCTATTTCTACATATTATTTGTCCTCTGTTAATGTATTCTACAATGTGTTTTGTTTGTATGTTTGTTTATTGCTAGTCTTTATGTCTTGGAACTTTTTCTGTGTGCTTTTAATACCTAGTACAACTTGACAAAACCCAATCCACTTCCATCCAGTCTATTCTGCCTCTTAGTGACCCTATCACACAGAGTAAAATTGCCCTATGGGATTTTTAAGATATTAAAACTTAATGAGAACAGACGGCCACATCTTTCTCCTTCCAAGCAGCTGGTGGGTTCTAACTATCAACCTTTTACGTAGTAGTTGAGGCTTTAACCACTAAGGCAATAAAACTCCTTCCTGGTACAACAGAGACCTCAAATATTTATCAAATGAATGTACACATATTTGATCAATTTTTCATTATATTTTAAATCTTTTAGAATATCTGACTGTATTTACAGTCTAGTGTATATATAGAATAAATTAGATAACTGTACATAATATAATAAATTTATATTTAAGTGGTATGAGGAGATTAAATGGTGTTTTGATCTATCTTTTCATTATAAATATGAGACTTATTTAAAATAATTTTATTGCATTCTATACATATTCATAAGAAACCCAGGCATTAAGATCATGTTGAATAGCTTATAATTACACTGATAGTTATATGTTATAGTCTGTAGTGCATATTTTTACCAACCAAAAGGTCTTGCCTCTTTGGTGGTTCCAATCTATCAGTAGCCACTAGAGTAAGAATGGGCAATATACTCCCCTTGGGATTTATTTACAGAAGCATAAATCCAAAAGAGGGACAATCACTAAGAGTCTCAACCAATTTATGACAGTGAAGAGTCTTTATAATATTTTCATTTCTATAGAACAATAATTCAGTAGTTCAATACCATTTGGACATTGATTTTCATCTCCATATGTAAACAATGGGTAAATACTTTGAAATAGTGTACATTTTCAGCTTTTGGCTTTAATTATATGATATGAACCTCCTTTTAAAAACGCTCTAATAAAACCCTAAAAGAAGTCTAATAAAACCCTATGTACTATTCAATTAAAAGTCCAAATTAATACGTGAAGTCCAACTCAATTTCTAGTAAATTTAGCACTTGTTTAAATTTCTTTTGGAAAGTTTCTGTTATTCACTCAGTAACACCTAGCATCAATATTATTATAGGACTCCTCTCTATAATTCTTATTGTCAAACTCAATTAAAAACAAAATATTAAACTATCCAAAACGTTAGTGCACCTCCAAAATCTATTTTATTAGTAAAGCTAATAAAAATAATATATTGTATTACCAATAATAAGGAAAAAAGATCACTCAATCTATACACAAACCATTTACAAAAAAGGAAAGCATACAGACAGGTTCATCCTAGAGAGGGTGAAGCCAGACTGCTCCTTGGAGGCAAGGATTATGTGGCTTTCTCTGACATACTTTGGGCATTTTGCAAAGAGGGACTGGTCCTCAGAGAGCGACATCATTCTTGGAAGGGTGGAAGGATGGAGAAAGATAGGGAGACCATCGATGAGATGGACTGATACAGTGACAAAGATAATGAGATCAGGTATGTCAGAGGCAGTAAAGTTGGCACAGTATAGAGAAGATTTCCGTGTTTTTTAACATAGAGTCACCATGAGTTGCAAGTGACTTGACTGCACATAACAAGATGGCTATAAAGAAGATGATTCCTAAGAGAAGGGAAAAATTCTTTTGAAAAACAGAATTACAACTCTTTATTAAGAAGTTGACATAGGTTATCTTTAGTGTTTATGACTTGCAAAACAAAGTATTTAATATTTAACATGTTTAAACACAAGCAAAAGCTGTTTGCTAATCAAAAGGAATAATTTGACTCATCTCAGAAAAAGAAATTCATTATAATTAGGATATTTCAGAATATGATTAGAGCATTGGCAAGAAAATATATTCACCTTTCTTGTCGTCGAAGTACAGGGTCTGTTGAGCTGGATTTGACCACTGGAGGGAGGTGTTATCATTTTGATCAACTCTGCAGGTCAAAATTGCAGTTCCACCTTCAACAACTGTTACATTCTGTGTCAGTGGAAACTGCCCTTGGCTGCCTATAAGGGGATTAAGGAAAAAATTGATTAAATAAAAGTTATAAAATGATTAGTACTCATGATACTTCTATTCTACATTGGACTTATATTTTCACAGACACAAAAATATTTGCTAAACCAACCAAACAATCATAATTGAACTATGAATTAGAAAGTAATTAAAAAATAATTGTGAATCCAAATCCAGAGGACAGCACCCCGATATACCATTTGAATGTCTCTGTACTTCTCTCAAAAGTTCCAAGGAGCTTTTATTTCTCCCTTCTAGCCACACATAAAGATTTATATTCAGATTGTAACATGATAATCATTACTTTCATTTGACCTTGCACTAATTACAGATACTACTTGTCTGGGTCGCCTTTGAAGATAAGACTCTAAAATCATTTTAAATGAATTGAACGTGTCAATACTATTTTAAAGCAGTACAGAAAAAAAATATAAAGCAGTCTGTGAAATATGGATTCTTTAACGTTAGATTTCTAAAAAAGGTAATTTGAATAATAATAAAAAATATAATTTTGCCTTGGTTGTTGTAGATGTGTGGAGTTTTTATTGTTTTTGTGGGTTTTGGTTTTTTGGGTTTTTTTTTTACAACTAAAAAACATGTTGGAAAAACAATGTGTGTATTCTTCAAAAACGTTTTCATGTGATGGAATGTTCATCAAAATCATGAAGTGATTAGTCTGAGTTCACATAATAATCCTTTGTCTTATTTTTAATTTCCTGATTTTCTCTAATAAATTCTTTTTATTTCTTTTTGATTAGAAAAAGAATATATTTTTAATGACCCCTGTCAATTTCGGTGTCATGAGTACCTAATCAAGCTTTCTATCTCTCCAAGTGCAATACTAATTTATTAAAGTAATTCATGTAGCAACGTCAATTAATAAGTCCACTTTTAATAGTTAAAACCAAAATTCATGCACAGAGAAATTTAATAATATGGATTTCACTTTTGCAAAATGATCTGGAGATGGGCTCTGTCTTGTCTAGCAAGAACGATCAGCATGAGTAAAAATTCAGTTTGCTTGATCCAGGTTAAAATATGTGAGCAGGTAGTTCATTAAGTCATGGCTAATTTACATATGCAAGAATATTATTATGACTTAATCACACCCAAGGAATATATTTCCCTTTTCTTCTTTAGTTTTGCAATGATTCTATCATTACTGCAAGCACCACTTGAGGTTATGCTAGAGCTATTGGCTTAAAGAATCTTATTACCAAGAAGCCTGTTGATTGGCATCATAAGAGACAGAAGGGCCTGAAGGGGAAAATTTCTTTCCAGATCTCAATGACACAAGCACAGAGGTTCATGACCACATTATATAATTAAACCTATCAAGTATGAAGAATCTGATATCAGGAGCTTTGTCTCTTCCAAGCCAACCTCTTAAAGTCACTATGGCAACTCCCCAGGATATCTCCCTATAATCTTTAGGGTGGAGTTTTTAAATTGAGGTTAGGAGATGTCTGGAATAAATTCTTTGATAGTTGACTTGAAAGTCAACAGGAGCCAGAGTGGGATGTGTTTTGCCTTCAGCTCAGAGGTGACCTCTAGCAGGGAAAACATGGAGAACTATCAATCTTGTGAAGTGAGGTGAGGCGAAAAACCACATAAGAAAAAAACAGGAGCTGAAACAGAAAGCAGGAATAATTACTAGAAATATCAGATTAGCAGCTCATAAGAAGGAAGTTTAGAATGATTTTCGTAGTTTGCTTGATTCATTTCCCTGGTATTGACCTAATGCATAATTTGAGTCACCTGTGGGGGCTAGGCAGGGGGTTCTTGAAATAATGCAAAGCACACAACTGCTAATAAATATACATAATTCAAAACAGATAGAATCTTCACTCTCAACTGGTACATGAATAATATAGCCTGCTTCTTTAAGAAATGGAGAAATAACCCTGAGACTTACAACAATGCCATTCACTATATTTGCTAAATAATTTTCAAAACATTCCCATAAGAAATATTATCCTTTTCATTTCACAGATGGGTAAACTGACACTAGGAGGTTAAATGATTCTTCCATGGTGAGACAAAGTCAATGAACCATTAGAAATTTGTTCTGAAATTCAAGATTTTTATTCTTTGTACCCTACAATAGCTGCTGACAAAAAACTGTTGTTTAAGTCACATTTAACTAATTAGTAATATATGGTTTAATGTGACTTAGATAACAGCCTTTTGATGGGATTTGGGGGGGTTGTTTTTTAAATGAGAAACCGTTTAGCCAGTGAAACTTTAAATGACCTATCTAGGCAAACAATGTTCTCACACATTTCAGTTACACTCTGACAATCACCTAAGTAACTTTAATATAATGAAAAATAAACAACCTAAATTTAAAAAAAAATATCCCACTATAGTCAGAATTTAACTTCTGATAATTATTTTATCTTTTCTTCCTGGTCCACAGGAAAGATTTTTTTTATTTGTTAAGATAGGGAAACTTAAAAAAAAAAAAGTCAGTATCTATACATACACTGACACGGAAACATCTTGTCCTTCCTCCAGGTAGGGAAAAGGGAAAGCTTCTCTCCACATTTCTCTCCCTTTGGGCTCTGACTTTCAAGTGTCAGGACGTCAGTGCTCAGGAACCTGAAGGCTTAAATCCCTGCAGTCAAATAATTTAGTATTTCCCAATAGAGAGAAAACTCGTGTGGAGACTCTACTAATCCTAAATACCCTTAGGAGGTAAGAATTGTAAAATCAATTCAAAAGGCAGTGTTTCTGACAAAGTTCTCAAAGCTTGAGTTGCCTTTTTACATCTGGTTATAACCTAGAGTGAGAACACCAAACTAGCTGTCACTTTGCATATATAATTCATTGTGGTTCAAAATCAACATTATCATTCATTAGCAGAGTCCTTCCAACAAAATTACGAATTACTCCAAATATCACAACTTCATATTTCTCCTCCATAGACATCTACTAAATGCTCGTATGTCTCGTATGAATCAATATCATGGGTATGAGTGGAAGAAGTCTGTGAAGAACTTTGGCAAAGTTATCAGCAACTTTAGGGTATGATGATTGAGAGTAAAGGAGGAAGAGATTTTATGGAATGGAATTTTATGGTATGGAATAGTACTCAATTTGTTTGTCAAATTGGAGATTTCAAAGATGCATTACCTACATCCCTGGGGTCTCCTCTGACTAAGTTGATCATTCTAGATTTCAGAGAAGTTACTCTTATGAAGAGTTTCTTCACTGTACACAGGAGCCCTTATGGTCCAATGATTTAATGCTCAGCCGCAAACCAAAAGGTTAAGGATTTAAATCCCTGTTTCTCTGTGGCAGAAATACGATGACAGGTGGCTTCCTGGAAGTATTTGAAATTCTTTGGGGCATTTCTGTTCTGTCTTATAGCGTCACTTTGGGTGGGAATCAATTCAGTGGCAAAGAATTTTTGTTCTACGGTTGGTACAATTGATTGTTCTGTTTGATTGTTAACTAAAAGTTTGGATATTTGACTCCAGCAAAACAACCTCACATAGAATCCTGGCAATTAAAAATAGAAAGAAACTGACACACATGAAGTTTTCATGAACAAGGATGAATTCAAAGCCTACTGGTGGTCATTAACTTTTATCAAACAAAGTTGTTATGAGATTCAAAAGAAACCCAGGCTTCCAATTTGTAATCTAAAAGGATGATTATTATTTTTACATTCAATTATGACTCTCACTTTCCTACACACCTATTTATGTTTACTCCCTTTTATTATTTATATGATTATCACTCTTCCTTACTTGAAGTTAATTTATTTAAGAGTCAGGCAATAAGGATATTTTATTTACTTAGCATATTCACAATTATCTCCTTTAGTATTCTGTTCTGTACATGGAAATTCTCAATAGCTGCTCACTGTTGGAGACAAAAATGGTAACCTTTAAATCACATCTTTTGGGAAGAACTAGCCCTTTGGAAAATGTATAATAATGGAAAAGGGGAGTATCCATGAAAAAAACATAAAACCTCAAAGAAATAGAGTGACACAGAAATTGAAATTATGTGCTTACGCATAGTACAGTTTGTAAGTATGGTGCAGGAATAGGTTGTGTTTTGATCAGTTGTTTAGAGTTACTAAGAGTTCACTATGGATGGATTCAGTTTGAGGGCATCTAACAATAAGGACAGCTCAAAGAGATGATTTCTTCCTAGAATACTTTTCAAAGCAGAATGTTGAAAACAGCTCAAGTGCACTGCATTTTGTTATGGTCAAAATAGGACAGAAATAGAGACTGATTTCTTCACTAGCAGCAGAACTTCCCCAACATAACCACAAAACAGACCAAGGAAAAACTACCCAAAATTCAGTCAGAAAAGAGGTAAGGATATTTTGGTATGATTTCTTAGGAAATTTGTTTTATAAAGTCTACTTGTACATCCATTTCTTTAGTATCAAGGTAGAAATGTGAAAATTTCTTTAAAAATGAAATTTTGATCTCAAGATGGACACTCAGAATATGGCTTATGTGTCTAGAGAGCAGAAAACAGAACATGAGGGCATAAGACCATGAATGTCTTTCTAAAAGGGTCAGAAGGTGTGAGAGTAGCCCTGAACCTCACGTGTGAGCAGAAAGCAGCTAAAAGAAACATCGTTCAGCCCCATGGTATCTCTAGAGCCGTGCCAGTAGCAAGAGGTTCATTTATTTGTTGTTAATTCACAGACTTCACTCACAACTGTGGTACTACTAATGGCGTTTATTAAAGACCTAAGTTGGAAAGTTGGTGAAGCAAAGACGTTCTCACAATACATTTAGGTTTTGTTCAGCAGTCCCAAACCAGATTAACAGCAAAACCCAATTCGTTAATTAGTGAAAGTCTTGGTTTCAGTTTAGCAAAATAAATGTAAGGAGTCTCTGGTTTCCTCAATGATCCAGTAAGGTTTTCCTCAGGGGAGTTAAAAGTCAGCTTCTCCTTCAAGGATCTACAAAACCCTTTAACTATGGGCAAAAAAGATATCAAGAAACCACAGGCCACA